ATCTCCATATTTGGCAGCGTTATTTGATCATGGGTCATATCAGTCATGTGTTTGCATTGACCCAAAAAAACATGAGCCAAATCCTTCCAGGAACGAATTTGAGTACGACTCAATTGATTATACCACTTAGAAGCGGGTACAATCAAACTGTCTTGAAAGCAGTTGACCAACATCTAATCATTATTGGTGTATCAATTATCCTTTGAATAAACATCATGAGATGGGCATTAGGGCTTATACTTTTCAAAATCAGGCATTTTGAATTTGGGCAGGAGCACCAAGTCATAAACTAAGACTAGTTCTCTTGCGTCAATTTTATTATGAGAGATTTGTCTTCTCATTCCCTTGAATGTTTATCTACACCACTTTTTTTTAAATTCTCAGGGATCTCATTCTTGGCTTTTTTTTATCTCATCAGGATTGGACATGTTATGATCAGTAGGATTATCTTGAGGATCTAACACGGTTGCTTGAGTTTTAGTGGTAGAGAAGCCTACATGGTGGCTTGAAACCCTTTCGGGTGAAATGAGTAGTTGTGGATTAGCCTGTGTCATCACACAATCAGAGATTTCTATGGTCGAGGAAATATTCTCTTTGTTTCTTTCATTGTTGAACCCAATCAGTTTTGCTACAATTTGGTCAACTATGTTGTCTTGGTTTTGCAAGATGCGATACACAGTGGCCTTTTGTTCTTGCTCCATTTTAGTTTCTCAATCTATTTGCATTCTTTGCAAATTCTCTTCCAATTCTTTCTTCAGTTTCTCAAATTTTGCTTCCATTCTTAGTACTGTGTGAATGAAGTTGCACAGTTAGAAACATCTCATCAGAGTCCTCCACGAGATAAATCAATGTATCAATGATTAACGCGTGTAAAAATGCCTAAATGAATGCCATGCAGAATGCAAAAATGCAAATGCTAATGCAAAATGTGTTGGTCCCAACGATGAATATCATTGAACAATTTTCATCAGAGTTAAGATCTTCACATTACAAGATAATCCATTTTACAGACATGTTTTTGCTTAGATGTTGAGTTTGAAATGGGTCGGTGCTTCGTCTCGGATCTTCATCCTTGAAAATGATGCCCCTCAAGCGCTCTGTAACCTAACTCCATTAATGCCACGTGTGGTGCTGAAGTCACGTGTCACTCCTTGATGACTAACGATGAAATTATTGTAGATAAGACTCTACTACTAGATTACTCCTCGGATTAATGGATCGTCTTTCCAGTCTCTAATGTTGTACGGTCTTCGAGAAAGTCTATTTCTTCTATTTTTGAACTTCTTTTAGCCCTCGGCGCATGTCTGTGTACGTGATTGCTTGATTGAAAGCTTTTACACTCCTTGTGAAAATTTTCACTCTAATATCCCCTAGCAGATCAACACTTTCGTATTATGTCATGACGATGCAATACACACAAAAAAGATGAAGAATGAGACAAAAAGAAAAGAAATGAGTTAGTACATATAAGATAATTGATACAGATAAAAGTGCTATTCAGAGATGAATATAACTCCTACCTCATCATGGTATATACCCGAGCATGCTATTATTAAATAGCATTCCTACCCAGACATGTTTTCTACCCAAAATGATTTGTTTTCTACCCAAAATAATTTGTTTTCAAGAAATTGATCCTAATCGTATGGTATCTAGTTCGCATACTTTTATTTAACAAAATTTAAAGCAAAAGGTAAAGGTTCAGTAATGCTCATCCTTTGTGTACACTTATTTTGGCACCTAATGATGGACAAAGGTTCGGTATGTCTATACCTAGGGTGACCGTTCTACGGTTCACTGTATGCATAGTTTCGGCTCTATGAGGAAAGGGTACTCGAATTATCCTTGATGTCGGTGCCCCCTTAAACTACCAAACCCTCAATCCTAACCCATTATAGGCATAAACGGATCGAATTCAATTCGAGTGGATTCACTTCCTTATACCCATACGAGGAAAAAATCCGTACGAAGGTATAAAGCATGTGCACCCCAGAAGTTATTTGCTAAGGCTCATACGAAGAATAAATTCTTACGAGAGCAAAGCGTTCAACCCTACTTACTTGGGATGAAGCTCGAGTATAGAGCTTATGTCATGCAGATGCACGTACTATGTGTGAGGAGAAACATACAAACCTTTGACTCAAAAGAACAGAAAAGTCTCAACAGAAACTTTAATAAAGCTAAAAACATAAATTAAAACATTAGTATGATAAAAATACAGAAATTAAAAAAGTTTTAATAAATGGATCATAAGCTAACTATAGACTCGAACTCATTATTTCCCCCACAACGAAAATGTATAAGCGACTTATAGCCTGACTCTCTAAAGTGTCCCCAGCGGAGTCGCCAAACTGTCATCACCATTTTTTTTGAAAAACAATTAAATTTTAAAAAATAATTATGACTTTGTTTTAAAAATTTGGCAATTTTGAATTAATTTTAGTTATTTTGAATCGGAATCGCCACCGATCTTTAGGTTAAATAGGTTGAATACATAAACCGTCTTTTAAAACAATTTTAAGAAAAATCATTTTTAAGACAAAAATTGGTCTACATTATCAAAGATTCATTTTTAAGATCCTAGAGTCGATTACGCATGGGGAAGGATAAACACCCTCACAACGCCCAAAAATTGGTACTTAGTCGCTTATACGTTGTCGTAATGGTGGAAATTAAAATTCAAATAGAAAATTAAATTATGATCCATTTATTGAACATTGATTAATTTGTTTCGAATTATTTATTAGGTAACATTCCTTAATTTGAGAAGAAATATCGAGATTTGCTCATTCTCCGACAGGATGGCTATCTCTTATATTTCTTGTCTAAAAAGAATATTTCCTCCTCGATAAAAAAACACGAATCAAATATAAATTAAATATCGACATTTTCATAAAATAAAATAAATTGTTATTTAAAACAACACACCTTGCATCATTTGAATAAAAACGAACTGATTATCATTTTTATAAAAATAAATTTGATTTATTTCAAGTTCACATTTTGTTCAAATGTCGTATCGGATCGCACTACTTCGACCAAGCAGTGTTTTCCACGCTCATTCTACAAATAAGTGTTATTGAAAACATTAGAATAACATATCAATAGATAAAAAAATACAATGGAAACCAATGCAATTTGAAATGGATAGAACAAAATATCTACAATAAAAAGGCTAATAATATTTATTTAATATAATACATATAAACACATAATATGCAAAATATACATATATACATAAAGGACTAGAATATAAACAAGAAAACTTAACAGATAGAAATACAAACAACAAAAATAAGCATATTTGGTGATTTAAGGGATCATAATGGTATTAACTGAAACTTAAAGGACCGAACAATAATTATATACAAATCAGAGCCACAATCGAAAATATAGAAAAATATAGATACCAGAAACGGAAATAATCCATAAAATAATGTTAAGGACTAAAATAAAATAAACCAGAAACATGAAATGGCAAATAATAATTATATCTAAATGCATTCAATATACAAAGCGATGACTAAAATGAAACATTTACAAATATCATGACCAGAGTCAAACATTAACAAAATGGCATACATATAAGATGATGACTTAAATACAAACATAGAAAGATAAGTGCTCAAAACAAAATAACACAATACTTCATTCAGTGACCCAAATGGTGAAATTACAAAAAACGGGGACCAAACACGTTATTTTCCCCTAAACTTATGAAAACACGGGAATGGAGGGGTGAAACTACATCGTTTCAATCAGTATATATAAGCCCGAATTTAGGGCTTTTCCTCATCATCTCTTCATTTGCTTCATTTCACTTTGGAAGAGGAAAGAGAGAGTTTACAAACTCTCTCAACTTCCTCGTCGGGAAAGGGAAACCATCGCTCACTGACGGTAAATCATGGCTGCCCACGACGGTCGGAGGGAGTAAATCACCTCGAAAATACTTCTCACGTCCTCCTTAACCCGGATCCTAGCCCCCTTGAACCTAAAACTTACCCTAGAACCCTAGATCTAGTTTTATACCTTTCAAAAACCTAAAACCTGGTGCCCCTTCTTTGTTTCCGACGAATGTCGTACCCGATAAGTTCTCTTATTTCTCTTTGTTTATATTTTCCTTTCAATTTTTTCTCTCTTTCCCTTTTTTTTGTATTCGAATCTCCTTTTTCTCTTATGTTTTTTTTTCTGTTCAACTTCTCCCGAAAATGTTTTTGCATGTCTATTTAGGGGTGAGTTTTGAATGTGAATGATGAGATCTATGGGTAGGGGAATGATTTCCCCGGATTTCCTCGGGATTTCCTTTTGTACAAATGGGTTTTTATATTTGTTTTTCTTCTCTAACTGATTTTTCTTGGTGATTGACTGGTGGATGGTGATTCCCGATCACTGTAGATTGACTGGTGAACGGTGATTCCCGATCACTGTAGATTGAAATGGCAGTGTCAGAGGCGGTCGGCGACGACAACAACAATAAGCAGTGGTGGCGGCAGTAGCTCCTTAGGGTTAGGGTTTCAAAAGCCCTAAATATCATTGATCTGGACCGTTGATTTGGGTCCAGATTGTATGGACGAGATTGAGCGATGTTGTAGGCTTGGGATAGAACCCTAATCGGGTTCTAAGTAAGCTATTGGGCTCTAGTCAGGTCGAATCTGGGTGGGCTTGGTTAGATCCTCTTGGGTCTTGTTATGTGGATCAGGGTTTGAGCCTCCTACTTAGGTATTGACCCAATTGTCATTTGGACCTATAAAATGTAGTAATAATACTATTAATAAAATAATAATACTAATAGTAGTAGTAATAATAATAATAATTAAAACTCAGACAAAAACGAGTGTCTACAAATAAAATTGTGGAAATCCAACCTATTGTCAAATATCATTTTGATATTTCTTTTATATTTTCTATTAATAATATGTTTTTGTCTCCTAATATTTTATAAATTCATTTCCTAACATAAAATCATACAAATGTCCATTGCGGATATTAACCAAAGTAATGAACAAATGACGCAAGAATATTATATCCATAAACTCAGTTCCTTGGTTTTATACAATATATTTGTAAATTATACACTATGCGAGTAATTAGAACCATGTATCTCATGGAAATGGAGAATCAATGGTCATCACTAAGCGTGGGACTCCGTTTCTGAAAACTGCTTCACAACCTCTCATAGTTGAGCTTCTCAGACTGCAGACAAGAACAGGAACCAGGCATCAATGCTATATATATATATATATATATATATATGTAAGGAGGGGAAGATATTGAAATATCCCCCACCACCCTATCGTTGGCATACTTTGCCTCGAATCGAAACATGGAATATATCAAGCAGCCAATGAAACAAGTTATTAACAGTACCTTGATAAGCATGTCTGTCGGAAGCCAAGCCGGTGCAGTTGGGATGCCGACCCATGCAACCTGTAAAACAGTCATGCTTAGTTAGATTTAGCTTCGATTGTGCTGACATCCAAATAAGATTGAACAGAGTACAATTATCATAGCTGCCAAAAGGTATTGATCTTTTAACAGGCAATGGTATAATAGATTAACATCAAAAGTTCTCACAATGTTCATACGTACAACGCTAAATAAAACCACAGACCATTGTACCACGTTAGCTTAAGCTTAGAACGAAAACGAAAACTTCGTGGACGAGGAGGAAACTGAATTGCCATGATTTCTGGTAGAGAACAAGCTCTAGTTTTCCCTAATCATCATCATAATCAAACAAATGAATGTGAACAGAAGTAAAAAGGCAAAAGCAGCAGAGAAAATTTCTTACAAGTGCATATTCTCCAGTCTCAAAAATACGCAGATCCAGGACCTAGCATCAACATGCAGATTGCAAAAGATTTAATGACCATTGAAGAGATATCCTAAACAAAACAGAAAAGGGGAGAAATTTTTTGGGCTCAATGACTCGAAAGTAGCACCTCAGTACCTCACCACGGTCTTCATATATGTAGTCCAAGCCTTTGTAATAGGGCGGATGTCCTACAGATAGATACTAAAACGAAAAATTATATCAGTATCCCTGTAATTTTATGCTATGGAAAATCCAATAGCAGTTCAAGCAGCAATTTAAATTATTCAACTAATTGAAGAAAGTATAAACAAACAAATCCAAATTCTTTCACTTTCAGCAAACTACGTAACAAGAAGAAGATTACCCATTACCCATATAGCAAAAAAAGCAATTGATTTTTCACTTACATTAACACTGTTGAGATACTTTTCTTTATCCACCCTAACAATCTGGCCTTTCTTCACTGCCCAACAAAACCAAACCCACTATTTATCATTTCAAATCCAAGCAACATAGACCAATAATTGAAAGGAATTTTTTTCCAGATAAAACTCACTGGAATAAACAGGCTTTTTGGGAGGTGGCTTGGCAGCGGCAGGGGCTTGAGACTGAGGTTGAGCATTATTGGATTGTTGAGCTTTCTTGGTCTGGGTAGCAGTTGGGTTTCCTTGTTCAGGTTCAGAAGCAGCTTTTATGGGTCTAATTGATGGAAACCGAAGATGGGTTTTGCTTATTGTTGAGGTATGTGGGAAGGAAGAGAGGAATGAGGAAGAGGAGGGAGTGAGAGCAGAAGAAGAAAATGCCATGGAAATTACCATTCCTTTCAGAAGAGAAGCTTTGCTGGCCTCGTTTCCAAGTGTTATGTGGATAAGAGTTGATCATCTATTTTTGTTTCAAAGGGCCAGATTTTCATGGCAAAATTTGTTTCTTTCCGTACACTTGGATTTTGGATCAAGTAGGGTGTTTTGAGAAAAATAATTTTGAGGAATTTTTTTTATGTTGTATGATTTTAAATAAAATAGGTTGAGTTTTAAATTTATTATATGATTTGTTTTATATCATCATAATTATTCTTTTTTTAAATAGAGCAACAATACATTGTAATTATTATAAATATATATATTAATTGAATTTAAGTAATTGAATTTTTAATTTTTTTTATTCAGTTAAGTACTTAAATTTGACTTCTAAGATTTAACTTGGTATATAAATTGTTTTAGTCCGGTAAGAAATTTCAATTTGGTTTCATGATTTAAATTGATTCATGAATTTATTTCATGGTTCAAATACATCATCTACAACAAATATAATGTGAATAAAAAATAGAGTTCAATTATCAAATTGAACTAATGTATCAAGTTTATGTACTTAATTAGACAGAAAAAGATTTAGATGTGAAATGAAACTTTAAAATTAATTTCAAATATTAAATTGAACAAAAAAAACCGAGTGTAAAAATTGAATGTTGAAATTATATATATGATTGGATATTCATGATACTTGTTTCAACGGTTATGGTGAGACCAAGTCAATATTATATAATTATGAGCGAAAATTTTATTGAAGTATATGTGACATCGACTTTTCAGTCTATGGTCTATATTCGATTACTATGGTGACACCAGACGATCATTTGTTGTGTTATTGATAGTGGGTATTGTACCAAGATATGTGTGAGACCCAAATTCTCTGAGGTGGCGTTTGGTTCATTGAAATGTTTATGAGGGAATTGAAATATGTGAATGAATTGAAATCTGTCAGGAATTGTAATATGAATATGAAATTTGTTTGGTTGGCAGGAAATTGAATTGGAATCCAATTTTATATTCTATTTGGTTCGCAGACATGTCAGATGAATTTGATTTCAGTAATATAAAATGACAGAATTATCCTTCTTGTTTTTTGTTTAATTTTAGTTTGTTTTATAACTTACATGTAGCAATATATTATAAAAATTTAAAAAATATTAAATTTTCATTTTATTGATTAATTATTCATTTCAATAAATTATAAAAATCATGCTAATAAACATCATAAGTTAAAATCAACTCAATCAAAATATGTTAATAAGTTACCAAAAGATAGAGCAATATTTCGATACATCCCAATTGAAGTATGTCAATTAGTTACCAAAAAATATACCAAAAACTTACAAGTCCAAAAAACCAATCAGCTTCCTTAGAAACAACCCAATTGATTTCACTACCCTTCCAAAATGTATTTCACCCAGGCGTCTCTATCGCCTTCTTCCAATTGCCAAAAATGTGTCTGATTCGGGAGTTAGTTACAGTCAAGGAAGGGTTAACACCCTTAAACTGCCCTTTCGGTACTACGTAATTTCCAGTTATCTTTAATTAAGAAGATTGTAACTTTAAATTAAACGGTAAAAATAACGATCTCAATCACTTACCCCTGATGGATTCGGAAGTGTACCCTTAAAAGAGTCGAGAAGCATGTTAGAAAAAAAGGCAATGAAGATAAATAAACTAAAAAAAATAAAATAAAGGAAATAAAAATAAAGAAAAAAAGGAAAATAAGATAAAAAAAAGACATAAAAAATAAAATAAAGATAAAAAAATAAAATAAAATAAAGAACATAAAAACAAAAGAAATAAAAAATTAAGAAAAATAAATAAAATAATCAAAATAAAGATAACGAGCAGAATAAAATAAAAGAAAATACTAATAATTGTATATACATAATAAATAAATAAATAACAAGAGGAAAATACAATGAAAATAAATATATAAATAAAACTAATATATAAAATAAAATAAGAAAAGAAAAGAAATAAAAGAAAAGAAAAAAACAAATAAAATAAGCAAAATAAAAAATAAATATATGAAAAATAATGATGAGGGTAGTATGGTCAAATTTCACATTCGCTCCTCAAAAGGATTTTAATTCTCTCATGTTATGGATGTAATTTATTTTCTCCCACTTGATGGAAAGTTGAAGTCATTTAGGATTTCAATTCCCTTTGAAAACTTGAACCGAACATGAGAAAGTGATATAATTGGATTCCAATTCCCCTTAATTCCAAGAGATTTCTGCGAACCAAACACCACATGAGTCTTATTTTGTGCTTGAATCACATTATAATATCAGATGCAAACATTGTTTATGCATATGATCTATATAAAACTTGCATATTATTGAAGGTAGAGATCATAGTATGTTCATATCTGGACCGTTAATTACGAATTAGAAAAAAACATGAAATTACTATTATTACTCAAGAAAATTGATAAGCCTAAATGCATGTAGTGTCTTGGATTCATGAACTATGTATGTATTAATTTCTTATTCCGTTGCTTATGTCTATGAAGTTTATGAAGCATATATTAGATTAGCGATATATTATCGAATTTGTACAATTCGGTATTTGGATGTTTTCATTCGTAGGTTAGTAATTCGAGTTTGTTCGATGAGCATCGTCGCGATAGGATATCCAACATTTGTTCATCAGAGTAAAATATTATTATTTTAGTATACATGTGTATTTATGAGACTTTTATTCATATATTTGATCTTTACTTTGAGATTTGTATTATTTTTTATAAATAAAGAATATCAACTAACTACATAAAAAAGAAACTAGCTAACTATATCTAATTGTTACCTTCCTCTTGGAGGATTGAAACTAGGGATGGGCATGGGATCCGAATCCGGCGGGTTTCGACCCAACCCGATCGGGTCGGATTTTTTTTTAAAAAAAATTATGGTTCGGGTCGGGTTAAGTGTGAAAAATATCTAACCGGATCAAAAAAATAATTTTACCTTATACATTTAGAATAATTATAATAATACCCCTATATATATATTTTCAATTAAGTCACTGTTTTTATTGATTTTTTTTTTATTTCGGGTCGAGTCGGTTTTTTAAGTTATATATCGGATTGGATTCGGGTCGGGTGAAAACTTGTTTTGGTCGGGTCGATTTGGGTTTCGGGTGGAGGACTCATTGTTCTCGGGTCAGGTCGGGTCGAGTCGATTTTTTAAGTGCTCTGAGTACGTCTAGAACTTATGACATGAAGGAATATGAGAAAATTAAGATGAACAACTTAATCAACCGACCATGCTTACACTGTGAATATATATACATTACTCTTGGATATTTATTATTTGAATCTAAATTATTTATATAGATGCATATTGAAAATTTGGAAATATGAATCTTATTTGTGTTAAAAAATTGGGAATTTGTTTGTTTATGAAGGAATTCAAATCTTGACCATTTAACTCTTCGTATTTAAATTTGTACGAATTTAGATATTTGACATGATTTGATATATAGATTTTAGATTTTTTTATAGATACAGATATCTGACGAATAATGTTTGATTCAAATTTAGTTTTGCATAAAAACACTATGATAATTTACATATAAAAATTAATTAAATTTTTTAGATAAATTTAGGAATTCAATACTTAATAATTATAAAAATATAAATATATAAGCCGTTGACATTTTAACTACTAATGTCAAGCAAAATGCATAGGATTCTGTAAACTTTGTTCCATTACAATTATGCATAGGGTTCGATTCTCCACTCATGGGTATAGAGTGTATTCTTTGGTTAGCCATTTATTTCTTAAGATAGAACTCCTTAACCAAAGAAATAATAATTTCTATCGATAATAAATAATTAATTTGAATATATTAGTCTCGGTGGTAAAAGAAATATTATTTTTTTAGAGGTTATGAGTTTGAATAGTTACACTTTTTATCAGTCCATATAATTAGATTTTAAATAAATATTATCTTATAATCAGTCCATATAATTAAAAAGTAGCTTTAATTCAAAAAAAAATATTTTTAGGGATGATTAAAATTATAATCTTTCTATTTTAAGGCATTTTTACCCAAAAATCACCCTAATATGAATTAATTATTTGTCAGGCACTATTTCAAAAAATTTTACTAATCTAGTACTCTTTCTGACGAGGCATCATCCGCGCATATCGCTGACGTTATCCGTGCCTTTATGGGATAGATGCTAGATCCATAAAATTTTCTAAAACGGTGTCTGACATGTAATTAATTTCTGTTATGGGATTTTTGTCTAAAAACTTCAAGGAAGTGGTTGTGTTTTGTTTGTTGAAAAAAATAAAATTTAATTAGCCAATCATTTTTATTTCCTTTCTTCTGAAAAATTAAGTCCTATGACCATAAAAAAATCATGTGCCTTTCACACTTATCATTTTCTTCAAATAATTATTTTTTTTCTTTTTTTATAAAATGTTTCATTAAATCCTGGAAATAAGATAATAAAATACTTTTTTTTTCTTCAATAATAATAATAATGAAAAATAATGTCAATAAACTTTGTCTTGTATCTTGATTTTGTTATTACTTAACCAAACTTTTTGTGTTGAATACGTTTTTAAATTTAATTGAGCTTCAAAGTTATTCTTAGATACGTTGAGATATATATATATATATATATATATATATATATATATATATATATATATATCGAGTATAAAATTCTTATAAATCTATATTTTAATATGTTCCTGATACGTTGATTGAATAGATAATTAGTGAATTCTTATAAACCATTGCTGCTTTAAGGGGATACGTTGTTTAAGGGGATAACACACATTTAAAGGTTCACTAACATGAACTCATTAAATTTTTATTAATGTGTGATACGAGTAAAAGAATACAAATTAATGACTCAATTATCAAAATAAAACGAATTAAAAATAAAATAATAAAAAATATTTTTTTGAAAAATCAATGATGAAAATAAAACATATTAAAATATTTGGTATAATTAGAACTCATGTATTTTCAATTATTATATTAAAAATCAATTATAAATTATGATAAAATATTTTCCGTTATCATCATCATCGA